AAACTCGTGTTTTCCGATCCGTTGGGTCAATGAGCCCGCTTGTTTCTCCTCGATTACGAGTGTCGGCGCGCGATCTCATCGTTGTGTAGTGCGCGGCTTGTTTATTCGTACCGGTGTCGATGGCCGGTGATCGGAATGCCGGGCGACCCGCCCCGGCGGCGGCGCCGGCGCCGGCTGCCGGCTACACGCACCGGCTGCTGCCCTGGCCGGTACGGGAGACCGCCTGCCGCCCCATCGGCGGCCACTGACGCCGCCTCTGCTGACTGGCCGGCCGGAGGCCAGTGGTTCCCACGTATACTTCGAGCTTGCGCCGCCTCTGCGGCGTCCAGTCGGACCAGACGGGAAAATTGTTTTTCCTCAGGTTGACGTCCTGTGGCACTAAGCACTAGGTCCCGTTGACGGCCCGTGTTGTATTGGGCTTATGGCAGCGCGATCCTTTACGGCGCCCACGATATGTGCTGACGCCGCCTCTGCACTGGCCAGCCGGGCTGAGCAAGGCGAGGCCCCTCGCGGCATCTTCTGACGCCGCCTCGGCCGCCAGGCCGTCTCCAGTCGGCCCATACCTGGCCGGGGGCCTCCCTCCTTCCCTCTCCCCCACACGGCATCCTCTGACGTGCGAGAAGGCCTCTGTTGCATACCTACATGCAATCAGTTCGGTCACCGAGCACGGCGTCCGCCGGCCCAAGATGCGCCCCTGGAGCCGCCGCTGCCAGACTGGGACCAGCGGCCATTATGGCTCCCACCTAAAGGCCAGGCCAACCTTGACGACCGAACAACTATTCCAGTTTTTATTATTTGCGCGGCGGCGGCGGCGGCGGCGGCGGCTGGCTGGCCGGCCTGCAGGATGCTCGGCCGGGCCGGGATGGGCGCCGGCCTCGGCCGCGGCGTCCGGCTGGAATGCCAGGCCGGTGCGGCCCGGCGCCGCACGTGGAAAGTGGGCCGGCCGAGCGGAACAAAGCCGCGCTGGCCGGCCGCCCCCAGAGCACGGGGGTCGGACGGTCCCGCCACACCGGCTACTGCGCACCCGGTGCCGGACGTCTGGGGCCGGTCTGCTGTCAGCCGCGGAGATGGGGATCTAGCTGGCTCTCCTCCCCAGCGATGTGGCCTCTTGTCCGGCGCATTCGGCTCCTCCAAATCGAGGCCTGAACTCACTGTGTTCTGTCGTGGGCTCGGAATATGCTTACCACGAGGCATGCCGTGGCCGTGGCCAGTCTGCGGTCCGAGTGTGATACAATCCAGGATCGTCTGACAGCGGCCGATCCAGGACGGCATGTCGTGGCCGTGGCCAGTCTGTGGTCCGAGTGTGATGCAGTCCAGGATCGTCCGACCCCGGCCGATCCAGGACGGCATGCCGTGGCCGTGGCCAGTCTGTGGTCCGAGTGCGATGCAGTCCAGGATCGTCCGACAGCGGCCGATCCAGGACGGCATGTCGTGGCCGTGGCCAGTCTGTGGTCCGAGTGTGATGTAGTCCAGGATCGTCCGACCCCGGCCGATCCAGGACGGCATGCCGTGGCCGTGGCCAGTCTGTGGTCCGAGTGTGATGCAGTCCAGGATCGTCCGACAGCGGCCGATCCAGGACGGCATGCTGTGGCCGTGGCCAGTCTGTGGTCCGAGTGTGATGCAGTCCAGGATCGTCCGACCCCGGCCGATCCAGGACGGCATGCCGTGGCCGTGGCCAGTCTGTGGTCCGAGTGCGATGCAGTCCAGGATCGTCCGACAGCGGCCGATCCAGGACGGCATGTCGTGGCCGTGGCCAGTCTGTGGTCCGAGTGTGATGCAGTCCAGGATCGTCCGACCCCGGACGATCCAGGACGGCATGTCGTGGCCGTGGCCAGTCTGTGGTCCGAGTGCGATACAGTCCAGGATCGTCCGGCAGCGGCCGGTCCAGGACTTCTCCAAGCTGGGGTGGGGAACGTTTCACTTTCCAAGTCGTTGCAGTAGGATGGGGTCCCATGAAGTGCGATGGTCGCTTATATCAAATTGTGAACAGAATATTTTAAAACAAGGCGAGGCAAATGTTGAAACGTGACAATGCAGTGGAGCGTGGCATGCATTTCGTGCTAATTTTGTATACCTTTGGGGCAGTGACGCTAGCAGGAAAAGGGGGTACAAGGGCACGTGGTCCGCTTATGTCCCGAAGGGCCTCTCGGGATAAGGGGCTTGATTTAAGGACGCGAAGAGCTGACCGGAGGTCGTATCAAAGGGCCCCGGTCCGCAGGGCCCTCAGATGCCAATCAAAAGGAGGGCCCTTTGCGCCGATTGGATGCCGCTGAGTCGATGAGGGCCTCTGTGTTTGTCAGGTGCCACCACGGGTTGAGGGGGTCCGAAGGCTGCCTCGGGACCGACGATCAGGAGACATCCTTGAGGACCGAAGGGCCCAAACGGCTGTATGTAGGGAACATTAAGGGCCCCAGCCTTTAGAGCCGGGACCTCAAATGTCAGTCAGAGGGCCTTTTGTACCGATTGGGGACCCCTGGAACAATGCGGGCCTCTATGTCGACCAGAGACCACCAACACTCAGCAGCCGGCTCCGTGTTGGGCTGGGCCCGAGGGCCCATTTGCTAAGCAGGGACAAGGCTGGGCCCGCGATTTTCGTTGGGCGGACCCTCTGACAGTGAAAGAAGATGTGGGAACTTCTGATTGGAGCGTGCAACAAAACAATGGAAGGGCCCTGTGCCAGTCATGGTCCCTGGTACCGAACCAGTACCAGTACCTAGTACCCCTCTACCCCCGCTCCAGACAAGGGCCGTTAAGTTGAACTGGTGTCTCTGCCTGCGTTAATGGGCCCTGCGTCGATCCGGGACCAACTGCCTCGGTCAGAGGGCGTGCTGCGTCAGGAAGGGGACCAATATATGATGTGTCCCTCTAAGGGTCTCCAGATCGATCAGGGGCCCCACCCCCCGTGCTGCTAGCATGACAGCAGGTAGGCGCCCCGCGCTTGGACGACATGGCCTTCAGGCACTGACGGGAAACCATAATGTTTCCCCGATTGTTCTATCCAATATTTTGCCAGAATTTAATGAATGAGAAAAGTGTTTAGCCCTCGTGCTCATAACCTTAGAAGCGAGAAAACAATGGCACGGGCTGTAATTTCAGTAAAACCGAACATCGTTGGTCGCGGTCAAAAAAGCTGTCGCTGGGCGCTGGGCGCGCAAGAACGACCATGTTGAAATAATGCTTCCGATTGTCTTTCAGAATTAGTTTGTACAGTTCATAGATGAGACCGTGGCGTATATTTCACCCGTGCCATTTTGAGGTTGTTCTCTGAACAGATGAACAGTTCCATTAGCACTACCAGAAAATTCACATTTACAGTAGCAGCTTAACCCATGGCATTACAGCACCAGTTCGCGGTGCTGTAAATGCTAATCTGTCCCTGTTATCAGTCTAAATATCGCGCAAGCGAAAAATCCGGACTACCCGCTAAACTTACGCATTGATGCTCAAAAACGTTAAAAGTGCCCTCGCGGGGTATGCGCCGCGCAATTAATGGAGACTTTACGTGGGGCGTCCGGGTTGTTGTTAGAATACCTGCGAATCCACGCGCTCGTTTAAGGTATGCTACGTAATTGTTTTCACTAATCGATTCTGAATGCAGGTCAGACACCCTCAAACGAGCATGGGTGGGCCATGTCAATACAAATGCTTGGCCCCATTTGGATCTGTTTCAATTTCGAATCCCGTACCTCACTCTTACCAAGACTGTCTGCGCCCCTAGTGTGGGACACGCAAAAGTTCTTCGGGCCTCGTAATTTGTGTTCGTCGCGGTGTACCATGTAGGCAGCAAGGGAGGGGCCGTGACCCCCATGGCCCCTTCCCTGGATCCCCTTGGATCCTCTGTTGTAGTGGGAATCATGGCGGCCTCCTGTCGCTCACGGTGTGAACAGACGCGTTCAGAGGAGCATCAGTGGACTCCCTGCTCCACAAAGGATGCAAGAGAAGGGAAACAGTTGCTGCCGGCGTTCGTGTCGTGTCTGGTGGCACCCTGAACACGCTGAACGGCTGCCTAGTGGGGTGCGGGTTCAGTCACGTCATGCGTAAGAATACTTTGGTGGGTCGTGCTCTGGTTCATTTCGAGCGCGGTCCCCAGCGCTTCTGCCTGCAGACATCCACGGTAAAATGCGCCCACCATGGCGCGGGATGCATCGCATGATGTCTCGCACCCTCCGGTTCTGGCCTTCGTGTTGATCGTGGACCGAGTTGATTTGCTGACTGCGCTGCAGCTGTGGCAGGCTTGCCATTCGCGCGGCGCAGGGTTCTCGGTCCCGGAGAACCGCTAGCCGTTCCTCGGCGCCGCGTGCCCGCCGTGTGCTGTAATGGCTGCCCGCTGTGTGGGTCAGCCGGTGTCGTGGCCGGCCGAGCGGCGCAGCGGCCCTCCTCAGCGCCGGAGTGCTGGCATCCTCTGCGCTGGAGTGCTGCCCTCCTCAGCGCCGGAGTGCTTCCCTCCTCTGCGCTGGAGTGCTGCCCTCTTCAGCGCTGGAGTGTTGCCATCTTCAGCGCCGGAGTGCTCGCCTCCTCTGTGGCAGATTGCTTCCCTCCTCTGCGCCGGAGTGCTGCCCTCCTCTGCCCTCCTCTGCTGCCCTCCTCAGCGCCGTAGTGCTACCCTCCTCTGCGGCAGATTGCCGTCCTCCTCTGCGCCGGACTGCTGCTCTCTGTCATGTCATTGGGGCCTTACGACGCACTCAGCTGCTGAGGCTATATGGCGTCGCCTGCCTCTCACCCTGGCAGGAAGGGCGGGCGCCGCGGGGAATCGAACCCCGCACCTCTGGTTTCCCAGACGCGCACTAGTGCTGCCCTCCCCTGCGCCGGAGTGCTGCTCTCCTTTGCACTGGAGTGCTGCCCTCCTCTGCGCCGGAGTGCTGCCCTCCTCTGCGGCAGATTGCTGCTCTACTCTGCGCCGGAGTAGTTGCCGGGCGTCGCTCACCGCGTCTCTCCGTCCTGTTGCAGGGCGCTGTCAGCTGATGGACGGGCGCCGCCCTCGGACGCCGCCGCTGCCCTGCTGCCGACGGTGTTGGAGAGCCCGCCGCCGACCGGCCCCGGAGGTAGGCGCGTGCGGAGCCGAACTGGGGGCAGTGATCAGCCCCGGTGCGGTACGCAGCGTTACGACAGTAGCTTCTACAGTGTAGGAGACGTTCAGCGTTGTTTTGTACAAACGCGCGGCTAGAGCGGTTTTGCTCACACTCTGGGGGTGGGGTGCATTACTTTATCGCACACGGTACATACAGCAGGTGCTGATGCAAGCGGAAGCATTCCGTGCGTAAGCGCTCCGACCTGGCTTTATTCTCGTGACCTGCCTGGGGGGGGGGGGGGGGTACTCCTGTGTCGGGTGTCTGCTCTCGTTCGGCGGGTCGCGCCATGTCCGTGCCATAACGACGATCACGGCTTTAAATGTCCAAGTTCTAGTAGAGTGTGTCCCCAGGTCTGACGTGTGACCGCCGGTGGGGCCGCAGCGGCTTCCGTGGCGGCGGAGTCGTGTTGTTGGTGCCATTTCCGCCAGCCGTTGGGAATGTTCCGCGTTCACAAGTGGCTTTGATATGCGTGCTGCGCAGTGTGAAGTGTGCGTGGGCTGGTGACGGGAGCAATTAAACAGCGTTCTTCGAAAACAACTGTACGCACGGGGTAATTGAAATGGCAAGTCTTTAACAAGAGCTGGCATGGTTTAAGCCGCAATGGCTTCCAAAGGGAGGCCGCCCAATGCTGCCGTGACCCGTCCACTTCCTGTTCGGAACAGCTGACGCGGACAGGCATCAGGACCGTCACTACTTGTCTGAGATAATCTATACTGTTCGGAGAACAGTGTCAGGCGTGTCTTTCTTGTTAACGGAACGTCTGTTCTATATTTTTTTCCGAAAAAAATAGAGGGTCCACCACAGCACATATATGTGCAGTTCGCCGACGTTACGCACCATCGCTCGGGTGCCTGCCAACGAGAGAAGGCATGGCCTGGCAGTTCACCGACGTTACGCACCATCGCTCGGGTGCCTGCCAACGAGAGAAGGCATGGCCTGGCAGTTCACCGACGTTACGCACCATCGCTCGGGTGCCTGCCAACGAGAGAAGGCATAGCCTGGCAGTTCACCCACGTTACGCACCATCGCTCGGGTGCCTGCCAACGAGAGAAGGCATGGCCTGTCGAGCTGGATCATTCCCACAGGTTTGCAGCTTCCGGCTGCAAAGAGCTCTGACATTTGGGGTGCGTCCAGGCGGTGTAGTGCCACCATGGTGCTGCTGGCGCGACCATTTTGAACCATTCTGAACACAAAGAGCTTCGTTTAGGCGCATTGAAGGTAAATTTTACGATAATTGCTTCGGAAAGGAAGCAAACACACGTCGGAACTTGTCGCAAACCAAGGAAACGCTGGATGTCAGCAACACTGTTTCGTTAACGACGTATTGTAAGGTCTTAGTGGCATACGTGTCCTTGTTTGGTGCTGTATGTCGCTGGAACCCTGGCGCATATATATATATATATATATATATATATATATATATATATATATATAAACGATAATGAACCCCTGTGAATGGCTGTCACAAGCTGTCTGAAGGTCTGAGCTTGTTAGGAAAAGAGCAAATTGAGAAATAACCTTCCTTAGCTTGTATATGTCATTCCCACATGACATCAATCAGTTATTCGTTCCTAATGGTGTGTGGAGCCTACGAGTTAGGCAGAAGAGCGGACAAATCATATGATGGCTTGTCATCTTCGGATGTAATTGTGCTGTTGCGTCCATGGGCACGCCTGTCTAAACACCATATGACGTCAGACCATGTTGATATCGTGCGGCACCACCACTGCCGGATGCCGCGGATCGGAGCAAAGTATGCCGGTTTTACAGCTAAGACTTTGCATCCCACGTCCTGTTTGTGCTGACGAATGATGCGGCGCGGCGCTTCAGATTCGGATGATCGCCGTCTCCGGGGGACAGTTTTCGGTTCGGCTTTGGAGATACGAGTAGTAAATACGCGCATGGCCCGGCAGTGCTTTGGCAAGTTCCTGCGGAGACTCATGGATGGAAGTGCCGTCTGAAAATGGCGTCATCCTCCAGGCTGTGTTCCACGTTGCGTGCCGTCTCGTCCCGGGCAGTAACAGCTGATCCTCCAAGGAGAGGGGCAAATCAGCGCTCACCTTCCAGCGCCCGAAACGACTTTCCGACACTTTCCGGTTTTTACCGGTCACAACCGGCACGAACTGGGAGAAACTGAAAGCTGTTCTGTCGGAAAACCAGCAATAGCATAGAAATAAAAACGCGCAGTCAAAATGTGCGGTGTATTTGTGCTGAATTGGCACATAATTGGTTCTGAAACCTGTGGCCGATAACCATTGACCATGGCTTGCATACACACAAGCCATATATCACATATGTGAGATATGAGGGTTCGTTTTACGACCTGTTAACACCCAGAGCCATGGATTTGCTATCCAGCGGTTAGTGAAGACGCGTAATCACATGCGAATGCACTGCACAAAAACAGAGCAGTCTACAGCTTGTAAACATCACGCAAAAGGAAGATACATTGCTGCCACTGTGCGGTCCACATCTGGACCCACCTGGCCCCAAATTCACAAGTTGTTGCAAAAGTCGTGAGTTTCGTGCTCTTTCCGGATTTAAACAGCTGCTTCTTTCATCTGGTTGATAAACTGAAATTGTAACCCCTACGTTTTGCTATTCAATAGCTACCATGCAGTTATCGGTCAATGGATTTGCCTCGCTATGATAATTGGTGCGATTTAGTCGCATGATAAGGCAAACAATAATAATGCCTTTGTCGTGTCAGCGCATGGTGGTGCTGTAACCAGCGCGTGGCGGTGTGGCATTGTGTGAACAGGCGGTGTAAGTAAAGTTTATCTGCTTTGTCATTTGTCCAACTATTGCCTTTTCTAGTTCGGTATAACTTCGGCTGTTCGGCTGAGTGTGTTCATCGACCAGTCCTTATTGTTACAGTGGGCGAAGCCGGGGTTGGCAGCGGGAAGGGCTCAGCAAGGCTACTGAAGGTATAATTTGTATCGTCCTGATGTCATCGTATTTGGCTCCATTAGCGATGAACCTAGTTTGCCATCTTCCAGTTATTGTCAATTTCGGCCTTTTTTACCAGCAGCTTCTGCCAGGCGCTTTTAAACGACAAAAATCGGGCAGCAGATACTGTTTCAGGGGCCTGCTGTCAATCCTGGGGCACATGCGACACTAGCTCACTCCTGTCTTTGCAGCAGCATGAGGATGGCGTCAAATCTGTGGTGAGATGGCCCCCTCTGTGGGCTGACGTCCTCCGTCCTTGGTGACAAGCGTGACGGGTGCAGATTGCGGCGCGGGCCTTCCGGTCCGAGGTCCACCCCTGCGGCGCCACACGTCCGGCATGCCTCCCGAGCTGTCGCAGCCGGCCGCCGCGCGCCGAGCCGGACCTGGCCCGGCCCACGTGCAGCGCCGGCCCGGAGATGTCCGGCCGCACGCCCGCTGCGGACGCTGCAGGCGGGCAGGATGGGCAGCTCCCCCGCTGCTCGGCCGCCGTGCACGGGTCCGGCAGTCCTCCGCCGCGCGGCCGCTCTGCTCCGCTGGCGCTCTGTCCTCTGTCGGACAGTCCGTTGTCTGCTCACAGCCGCTGTTTGGCGGGCTATGGTCCGGCCGCCGTCTTCGTCTGGTCTGGTCTGGCCTGATCTGGTCTGCGGGCCGGCTGGCTGCACCGCGTCCGCCTGACCCAGCGCGGCGCCGCTGTCACGGGCTCCAAGCATGCCAGACGGCCGCGGCGGCTTGGTCGCACTGCGGTATAGCGAGGCTGGACGGCAGCCTGTGCCGGACACACGGCGGGTTACCAGGACTGGTCGCTCCTGCCAGGACGCAGCACTGCCAGCCCGTTGGTACCCTCGGACTGGGCCGCTGAACCCGACGGACAGGTGGCAGACTGGCGGTGGCTGGTGGCCGGGGCAGTTCGATCAGGACTAGAGCCCACCGCAGGCGGGCGGGGTCGGCCGGCTCAGAGTCGAGCCCGCCGCCACTGGCCGGGGCAGCCCCGTCCGCACGCGGACCCACTGCCGGCTGTCGGTACTCGCGCGGCGCCAGGCTCCGAACATACCCATCTGGGTCCGAGCCTGCTGCGGTAGCGTGGAGCCGGCGGTTCTTATGCTGAGCACCGCCGTGGTGCGGTTTGTGGCCGTGCTGCGGGAGCTGTGCTGTAGTTCCCAGTGGGGCCTCCAAGCCGCAGCCTCAAGGTGACGGCCGCCGCTTATTCGCATACGAAACAAGTGTCTTGTCGATTGCATTGAGTACCCCACCCCTACAGGCTGATCTGAGTTACCTTAAAACTGGCCCCCGAGAGAAATTTGCAGCGACGCTTTGTGGTCTCTCACCTGCACTATGCACTGGTGCAGGAGATTTGCATGATAGCTTCATTTGTTTTTGTTCAAGGCGGAAACTTTCCCCAGACACGGCCATGATTTTCTTGATGGTGTTTTTGATAACGAGCTCAAGACAAGCGCAGACAATACAATCGCTAACAAGAGGTGCACGGAAGGGAGCAGGACGCTGTCCAGTCTCTTACATGGCAAATAAAATGCGAGGCTATAAACATCGGTAAAAAAACATGAAATCGGAGTGCTTGAGGCACCTCAGATTTCACGGTCCTGACTATAGCATGTCCAAACATAACGGCAAAATGCCCCAGGAAAGATGTTTTGAGTACAAGTATCTGCAACTTATACCAGGAGCCGCCATGAGAGTCATGGTCAGGAACCGCTCGAGATCCAGCCCTCCTTGTGAAAACGAGAGGTGGAGAAAATGACGCGCACGTGCCTGCTGCTAGCTTTGCTCACTCTATTAAAAGGCAAGCTGTATTGGTGCGTGGAAAAGAGACATTCTCTGCATACAAGGCCCCCTTGGATGGAAAATGGGTGGACTACGGAAAATTGCACACCTTGTATGCAACACTGTGCCTGAAATTATTTTCACCCGTTAGTCTCGCCACCAGAGCGTCTCGTGCCAGACCGAACTGACACAGACGCTAGATTGAGTCCGCGATTGTTATCAGCTGAGCGGTGGTCAAACAGCTT